AAATATTTGAATACTTTTAATTTAATTATTTTACTATAAAAACAAATAGTTTAAATTTTACTACAGTTAATGCAATATAACATGAACATACTTGTAAAAACAAATTTATACAGAATCTACATAATATCATAAGTCTTTGCATTTTATAAATTATTAATAAATGAAGTCATTTTCATGTTATTTCAAAAAGTTAACAAGTATATGTATAAATACATGCATAATGCATTTTAAACCACAAAACATGTATATCTAATTTGCTAATACTGAACAATGTTCCAGCGTTTCAAACTTTTTGCTATTTATATAATTTAATTCTTTAGTCTTATTTCTTATTTCAAACCACATTTACATAAATAACCCTTGATAGTTAATTACAATCAAACAATATTCAACATATATGAGACTTTAATATTTAAATACATTTTGCACACATACCCCACTGGGATTTTTAACAAAATATGATCCACTTGATCCTTGATATATACGTTCAGGATAAATTCCTTTATCAATAGCTAGTTCGGCTTGAAACACAAGATCACTGAATTGAGGGTCATCTGTAAAGAAGATACAAAAAATAATTATAACATAGTATTGGATAATTTAATTGTTTAGTTTTGATCAATCTAAGTATCTAAATTTTTACATTGATCCAAATCTACACTATAATAACAAAAGGTAAATAGATTTTAATTAAATGTCAAGTACATTGAACATAATAGAAAGAAGAAATTAAGATGAAATGTAATATAAAGCGCAAGTAAAATATATAATGAACTGCCAATCGATATTAAGAACACCAGTGACGACAATAATTTCAAAAGGAGAAAAAAGAAATATTATAAGGAAATTGAAGACAAAAAAGATTGAATAGATATTTAAAGATATTTTAATTATGATAAATATTATATTATTGTATAATAAAATAGACTCATACCAGACACCCATGTCTGACTGAGATATGAAAATAATATGTCAATAAATAAACAAAAAAGTATTGAATTTTGAATTATAACAGGAATGTAAGGATAGGAAAATCAAAGAAATATTAAAAACATTTAATATTTAATGGTACTCGAATAGATTACGGTGATTAGTATTAAAACTGTATCAAACAAAAACCAAAACCTTATGTAATTAATTAAAACTATGTAATTTGTCTGAATCACACCAAAATTTAATACTAACACTTTACATATCAAATCCCCATGTGATTCAGCTTAATCTATGCTCATTGGCAGATTTAAATTTCATGGCTTTGTCATCATCTATGTTAGTGTTATATATGAATAAAAATAATTTTGTTAATGAAAATCTCAAAACACATAACAAGAAATAAAAATATCTTACTCGTTCTTGTTTTCATGAGAAAATCTAAATTAAATCACTCATATATCAAAGAAATAGAAGTTGTATCCAATTTTTAGTTTGTAACTAATTAAAGAAAGTACTCAAAATATAAAAGATTATAAATTTAGAAAATAATTCAGAGAATAAATTATTAACATTCTTTACACTAATAAAAATGAAACTCAAAAATGGTAAAAAAAATGTATTTGTATTCACATTGGACCAAGCTCGAAGGTCGTTTTAAAACAAGTGTCAATATTCAAAACAATATAATTATAAGATGCTAATAATTTAACATTTACCTTTTTAATACTTTTTAGTTAATTAACTTAATAGTATTTTATTATTTTTATTAACTTAATAGTATGTATTTCAATTTATATTACATCACGGCAAGACAAAATTTGATAGGTCTTTGCATTCATCGTACATCCAAAAATACTAATTAATAAATAAATAAGTAGATAAAATGTGATACTAATAGGGCATTTAAAAGAACAATTGTTTCAAATCCATATGTACATATATACTTCCAAATACAAAAATTAAATTCTAAGCAAAAATTTAACTTGGAATTGTTACAAAGACCTTGTGAACATATAATTAACCATTTATAATCGTTTATCTATTCAAAAACCATATGCCAATACTTCTACACAATTATTTGTACCTGGAAACTGGTTATATGAGACATCTAAATCGCGAGCCCCCAGAAGGGGCTGCGATTCTCTATTATCAGCAGAAGGATCCACAATGCCCTCGAAAACCACTTCGGGAACTAAATTGATTTCTTCTGTTGAACTGGACAATGATAAAACACTATCATCTACTTGCGTCACAACATCTATTTTGTTGCCGAAATCTATATTCAATAAAGTTTCTTCTGTATTCATTAGTGCAGTGGAAATTAATACTTGACAACATTTAATTCACTGTTGCCAATAATGAGGAATATCACAATGATTTGGACAGATTAAATTCATTGTAGAAACATTTAAGTCAGAGTAAAAGAAATAGAAAAAATTATTTGGTTGCAGATGACTCATGTGTCAAAAAAATAATGACCCTGAGTATCAATGACAATTATCGGCATAGAGGACTTCAAGATAGTAGATGTACACACTAGAAGCATTATTGAAAAAATTTGCTACCATCAGAGCCACGTGCAGAGTATTTTGAAACTAAGATTTTTTAACTATTACTATTTATTATCCATTATACTATTACTATTACTATCTATACTTCTTTTATCTATGTTAAAAAAAAACAATAAACTAAATGTAAATGTTTGAAAATTATTCTGAAAATAAATTTTACTTAATTTTACATTAAATGCGTTAACATTTAATTGTATAATTTTTATTTTATTAACTTCCCGAAGGCGAAGTTTATGTTTTCATAAAAAAATCCGAATTGCTAATTTTATGTTTTCTCGACGTTTCAAGCCATCCTGAATCGAATGAGACCAAATTTGGAAAAAGTATGTGTGTGTGTGTGTGAACAGATTTTTTGCCGTAAAACGACGTTTTCTCAAAAACGGCTTGTGCGACGATCTGCCGAGCCGTTTCTTTGTAATTTGAAAAAAAGTGTTAAACTTTTCGTCCACATTTAAGCTCATCCTACCGAGCCGATTTTAAAAAATCAAAAACTGTTCGAAAGATATTAGTTGGGAATGGTTCTGATTAGTTTTAGGTGAAAGTCTACCGAGCCGTTTTCTTGTAATTAACTGTTGAAAAAAAAAATTAAACCGATTTGTATGGATTTTTTTTTAGCGATATATATCATGGTCTTATAGAACTTACTGTAATATTACGGCTTTACGACAAGTAGTTTAATTTTAAAAATTCATCAAAGTTTGAGAAAATAGGTAGTTTTTTTGACGTTAACTAAAATTAAAATTAGGCGATTTACTTGGTATAATAATATAGTACTTTACTTGGTCTTAATAAATATGTTAAACCATTAAAATCCTACGGAAACTGATTCAAATATAATAATTGTTGATTTTTGAAAAAATGCTTTTTGAAAATACTCCGAGTTAACGTGTTCGTTCGTTTTCAATTATGTGTAATAATAATAATAATAATAAATAATTTATTTATTTTTTATTGATTAAGTCGATTATTTACACATATCGGGAAGTTCATGTAACTTGCCTTAAGGCTAAATACCAATACCAACTAGTTGAAATATTTTTTGTTAAATTTTATGTTATATAGCGTTTACTGATTTTATTTCTCAATGTTATTTTTTCAATAATAAATAATACATAATAATTTAAAGTTTATAATCTAATTAAAATAAATTAATTAAGATAGATAACATATTCTTTTAATATGAATGCTTGGTGTTATAAAAAAAAATATATAAAATAATAAATTACATTACTACCGTAACCATATAAATTTAAAAACTTATATTTTTTTTAAAAAAATTATTTGGCACTTCTCTTTTAAAAATTATTCTGAAACAAAAATCAATATATTTCACATTATAATGCGTTAACTATTATCTGTATAATTTTTTTTTTTAATTTAATTAAATTTTGTTAAAATTTATATTAATTGACATAGATAAATAAGTGCTAATTGATATCACGTTTACTGATTTTATTTCTGATTGATTTTTTTTTTCAATAATAAACAATACATGATAATTTAAAGTTTATAATAACCTAATTACAAGATTGCGTTAATTCTTATTTAATATATTTTTTTTTTATTATGAAAACTTAGTGTTAATTTAATAAATATATAAAATAATCAATTACATTTACTAACGTAACTTTATAAATTTAAAAACTTAAATTTTGTTTAAAAAGATCTTTTGATATTTTTCTTTCAAATGGATTAAATTGCTTTTAATTGTGATTTTCTATTTCTATTGAGTAACTCGATCTAGGCAGAAGCATTTTTCAAGTTTCATTTAAATAAAGAAAACATTGAATAATTTATTTTACCCACTTTTGATTATAATGAATCTTGCAATAAATGAATAATAAAAAAGTATTAAAAATGATTATATAATTTATAATTACTTAATTAAATCTATTGCTTGGGTAGAGCGACTAGGGCGGATGCTGAACACGCCATTATGGAGTGCAAAAAATGGGAAAAGGGTAGGCAAGAACTATGGAGGGAGATAAGGCAAAAAATCTCCCTCCCAAACAATTTTATAACATTATTGGCAAAGAAAAGGATATATAGCGCACTATATAATTATATACAATAAAATATATTAAAAGTGTAAGGATAACTTATAAAATGTATATGACTAATGTACGTGTATACAAAGTCAACAAACAAACAATAATAAAAATAAAAAAAACTTCATTTTTCGTATATTAAAAAAAAAACAATGAAAATATTTGTAAAAAATTATGAAACATGTTTATACAAAATATGTATGTTATAAATAATTCTATAAAATAAAAGAGTTGATTTTAATATTTTGTTTTTTTTAATAAATTTATTGAAAACCTCTTTGCCAAGTATTTGAATTTTTAATTATATTTTACAAATAATTTTTATTTTAGTTAAAATTATTGTTAACTAATTTTAATCATTTACTAATGTATTCAACCCGGCGCATCTTTTTGAATATATCTATGGTTTACGCCACGATTTAATTCTGACAGTAGATTGCTTGTGTCACTTTGACAGTAGATAGTGGCTGTTTGTAAATTCTTGTTGTGATAAGTTATTATCGCTTGCCCTAAATAAATATTTAAATAGTAAAGTCCGACTAAACATTTAAAATGCCTGAGGTAAACGATTGTTAATATGTTGTAAATTATTAATATAATCAATTAAACAATATTTTACAGATTAAAGAATACGAATTTAATGTCGAGATGACTTGTGAAGGGTGTTCCGGAGCCGTTGAAAGAGTTCTTGGTAAACTTAAAGGTAATTTGAAATACTTGTTCCGTGAACTAACCTCTCAAATTTTATTTGTGAATGCATTCTTCAAATTTAATTCATATGTCATACCCTAATTCTTTTCCTTCTGTTTTTAATCATCTAAATTTATCATTCTTTGTAATAAATCAGTTATTCCTTTTACAATATCCTTTTAGTTTCTGAAAATGTGTCTGGAATTTTTTTCGGATTCTGGAATTATACTTAATTAGATTGTTAAAATGCAATAAAATTTTGAAAGTATGTCATTTCAAATAATAGAAAGTACATATATTCTGTATAGTTAGGTGGCATGCAATTCATAAATTAATCAGTTATTAATGATAGACATTAATTGAATGTAAAAAGCCATATCCTTAGACTAACATAATTATTAAATTCCAATCTATTAATTGAAACTAATAAATACTTTACGCTTTCATTTTCATGAATGGATAAATAATTGTAATGGTAGCCATCGCGGATTCATTATAAATAATTTTATTATAAATTAAAATTTATAAATAAATTATTGTTTAAAAAATTCTGCTGGTTCTATATCTCTATGCACTGTTTATATGCATTCGTATTTAAAAAATTGTTTGTAATAAACAATCTACATATTACCACTTATATTATTTATCATTTATTACAACAAATATATTCAAGCTTTTTTTTTCAATTATTAATTATTTTCATTAAATTAATTCAACAAAATCTATTGTTATGTATTAAGATTACACAGAGTTTAAAGTACACGGATTTTACTGATAATCATTGGTTCAAGTGGCTATTAAGAGTTTTGATTGTAAATTATTATTATTATATTAATTTGATAGTCTTTAATTGGTTATTATTATTATTATTCAACAAAATGTTTTCTTTACTTTCAATGTTTATATTAATTTGATAGTTTTTGAGCGGTTATTATTATTATTCAACATATGTCTTCTTTTTCAATATCGAAACAGGTAAATTTAAATTCAGTAAATCAATTCAAGCAACACATTGGTTGATTTTTTTCTGACATGAGCGCGGTTTTCTGATACTTTTAATAATAAGTATACTTCTTAATAAGTATTTCTTATATGACTGATTTATGCAAAAGTTTATTTTTTTATAAATATGTATAAAATACAAGCATCTTGTTGATCGGACGAATAATAATTACTTCCAAACAATCGGATACTTAAAATTTAAAACATATACTGAAGCAGGACTAAGTAACCTTTTTCTGATGAATTTGTTCTCTCTTTGAATATTGATGTATTAAATATAAGGTTGCTTACATATATAAATTTTTAGGTAAAGGCGTTGAAGATGTAGTAATAAACATGGCTGATCAAAAAGTTTGTGTAAAAGCGTCCTTATCATCAGATGAGTTATTGGAAGTTATAAAGAAGACTGGAAAAGCTACCTCTTTTGTGAAAGCCAAATAAGAAATATTACCATAGTATTAAACATGATAAATTTTAAACTTCAATTATGGGATTTGCTTGATAATTTCGATGGTGATGAAAATGAAGGACTGATTTTATACAAGACTATAAATATGAATGTTTATTATATGCAATATTTTTAACGTTATTTTTACTAAATGTTTTATTGATGGAATTTTTGTTTGTATGAAGTATAAATACATCTATTTTTAATTGTTAATATTTTATTTTTTTATATTTATTGCACAATATACTAACGACAGTAGATGATGGTGTTTTTTAGTATTATATTATAGTATATACCATGAAAATAATCCCCTGTATAAATTTTTGCACGAAACAATCATTAATATCATCTTTTCAACAGTTAATTAAATCTCTAAATTTGTCTGAACAAATCAAATATTTTTTAAACCAACTAATTTGCTTCCGTCTTTTAAGATATGATACCATTTAAAATATAAATATAATAGAACTGGTTGTAAGTGGCATTTTGCCTTAAGGCAAGATGTACAAAATTCTTGAGCTTAATGTGTGTAAATAGAGCCGCACAATATGGAAAACTATGGTGGATTATCAAATTTTATAAAAAAAAGAATGCGCATAAGGTTCACATGCGATTGAAGTAAAACTTATTTGTTACTGTACTAGATAACTATTTTGAATAATGTTTATTATAGTAATATAGTAACACTCGCGATGCACACATTTATCAGTGCCAACCATTACACACATTTATATAATGATAAATTATAAATTATATATTTATAATAGCATTAAAAATATGTATAACATTTAAAAACAATAATGTAATTAAGTTCATACTTCAAATATGACATGATCGGTTTGTTATTGCAATTAGCATTTAGAAATGAACCTTCATTAGAGAAATGAAGTAATTGCTGATTAATAAATTCTATAATATTCATTCACTCAGTAGATTATGTTAAACAACGCCTAAACAAATATTGTTTTCGCAACTTCACTCATCATGTAATTGTGTTTGAAGAACTTCATGTAATTAAAATTAACATAAATTTATTGAATGTTTGTATTTTTTTACTTTTTCTCTAGCAATATAATTTCATTTTTTAAACAGCTATAATATCTGTCTTGCCTAAAAAATATTGTCCATTTTAATAACTTCGAAAATTTATAGAAACTACGAATAATATAGAAATAATTACTGATCAATAAACTTACGTTTAGTGCACGGCACAAGTGTTTAAATTGTTTTATTATTTTAACAGGGTAAAATATTCTTCTGATTCAGGCATTTTTCATTAAATCAAAATTTGTACTACGATGTAACTTTAAAATGTTTATCCATGCCGATTTCCTTGTTGATATCAGGACGCATACAACGACAGATTTCTATTCACATACACGACGGCTAATCGCAATCGACCCGTATAGAAATGATCTCATCGGGAGCGAGTGACGAACAGTTCGGCCTAAACGGACTTCCGTTGCATTTGTACGGATTTACACCCAAGTCGCGCCTAAAAAAGTTTTACTTCAAAAATATTACTATTGAAACACGCTTCTAACAAGCACGGAGTATTTTTTAAAAGTGCGATTAACTCACATTTTAATTAATTTTTATAACTGAACCACTTTTTGTAGGACTATAATATTTTAGTATTTATATGTACTTACTGTTTCGCCTTACAAAGATTCATTAAAATCATCCCTAAGAATGAAATCTTTATACGGATCTCTGGCAAGGCACGCTACACTTCTGAAGTATTTTAGGACCACAGAATCAGCACGAAAAAGTTCTCGAAAATTATTGTATTATCATCCAAATACGTGAAATTGCGGATCGGATGATAATACAGCAGGAGACTTGACTGTGTAATCGGTGTAATCAATGCAAACGCTTTCGGTACAATAGATGACATTAGGTCTTTTGCGATATATCCGATATTAACTTATTGTTCCAGTTATGGATGTTGCCTAAAGACATCATGCGATACTCTACAAGTCTTCACGACTATCGGGAAAGATAAATCTCTTTTAACATTTTCGAATATAGTAACAGATTATGTGTTAAAGTTTACTAAGATTTATAATTATTGTAATGTTTTACAGAAAGCTTGTAGATTCATAAAAGTAGCATTTGTTGTAGTTACTTGGATAGGATGTGCTAGCAAACTCATAAAACACGTAGTGTTGAAAGCTGTTTAAAGAAATATATAAAATAGTGGTGCATTGCATCGTGCCTTAAGGCAAATTGCTGGTACTTTCCGTATCAGAATTAAATATTCGAGCAAAAAAAAATCAATAAATATTGATCAATGATTATTTACAATTGTTTTAAATATTTTCAAAGAAATAATTATAATTACTATGTAGGTATGTATATTCGTTCGATATAATAAGTGACGATTTATCGCTCAAAACACTTGAAAATGTTTACATTAAGAAAATGCTGAATGTGAATCCATCTGAGAATATATTTCTTACGATTACAATAATGCACATGAAATATATACATTTTTAAACTAAAATGTAAATTTAAAATTTATATTTAAAGTATAAAATTGTGTATTTTTGAAAATATTGAAACATTTTTTTGGAAATTTTGAAATTTGTTTGAACCGAATAAGTAAACATTAAAAATTAAAAATCTCTGTACGGAACTCAAAAAAATTGTAACAAAATTAGTACAAATATTTAAAATTTCTATAAAATATCTGATAATTGTGATGTGCATAAGCCTAATGATCATTTTAGACCGCTAAATATCTTTTCTTTTACATTTTTCCCTGTATCTCCGAAACCGCTAGACCAGCCTATCCAAAAATTCAATCGAATTTTCATGTTTTTTAAATTATTCAAATCGGACGCTCCGTTCTCTCAAAAACTGAATTACCGTTTTTGGCACTTTTTGCCCCGCAACTTTGAAACGGCTGGACCTGACTAATCAGCACATCTTCTTATCAACAATCGAATATTTTTTGAATCATTCAAATCGGTCGATTTGTGCGCCCGAAATTGTTGACGAAAAATTGTATCCAAACATACACACACACAGACATCAATTTTTTTATAAGGTATGCCAAAATATTCAGAAATCTTCAAAACGTGAAGATATGCAAAAATTTTCATTTTCGATTTTTTTATATAAATATTTACTATATTTAATTAAAAATCTTGAAACAATTAATTTTTTATAATTTCAGTAAAATAGTACACGACTCTATAAAATCTCATCTATTACTTTCATAGTTATCGCGTTTGCGTATAGTTCTTCGTAATCAATTACTCAACATGTGAGATCTTCTTGAAGATTTCCAGTATCGATTTACACAGGATAAATTCAGGATTTATTAGTTTAATTTATTATATCAACAAATTGATTTACGACAAATCGCAATTGAGGTTGCGGAATCAGAAAACGATGTCGGAAACTGACATTCAGGGCTGAAAACACACTTTGGTATTATTATGACCATTCCTAACCAAAATATTAGAATAAAAGTAATAGTTACAGGTATTAATAAAGCTGATCATTTATTATAGTTATTGTTATAATCTAAATATTGATGCATCCAAGATTAATAATTTCCAATCCAAAAATGGACTACCATTTCAACCCATAAAAAGCAAGATGCACTTAATGAATATCCATATATGTCCAAAGCTCATCGATACCATATGTAACAAGGTCAGTGTCTATACAAGAGAAGCACATTATTCATAATAATGATGCTAATTTATTTGTATCAAGTTCTTCATATTAAGAAAAGACTTGCCTTATCGGAGGAAAAATCACTCTTGCTAATTTAAAAACAATTTTAAAAATTTAAAAAGAATTTTGTAGGACTAAATCAAAACCTTCATTACTAAAAGTATTTAACAAAAATTCTTACAAGTAGAACAACTATAAAAATAAAAGTTTTCAGTTGTTAATTCTGTTGATTTGATTTGGAGAAAATTGGTCAAGTTATTTTTTGGTAAGCTATTTATTTTTGCAGTCTAAAAACTTCCAAAGTTGTTCTAAATGTTTCTGTTGATATTTCCAAAGTTGTTCTAAATGTTTCTATTGGTATTTACATTAAGTCTGCAATGGTTTTATGTGATCATGTTCTTTCGCAATGAATAGTTTAATAAAATATATATTTTTACAATAATTAAATATTCACTTTTTGAGAAATATTTGCTGAAACATACTTGTTGGATATCTGCCTTATGGGTTTTTATTTAGATTGACCAAAACGTTTCTTGATAATTAATATTAACTTTCTAACAGAAGAAATCAGCTTAAATACTCCGGTACTCTTGATACTGTGATAAGTAAGTTCTTATAAGATTCACGTTGGAATTATTTGATTCATGATAAAATAATTTTAACTATTCAAATCAGACCAGCATAATTTTATTAGAGAATTTAAACCATATTTTTGATCTAATTTAATTTTCCGTACAAGTTTTTTGGCATATAAAATTCAAAACAATAACGTTACTTATAAATATCAGATTAGACTTAATTTGTTTACAGTGATATTATGAACTTGTTTTAATTATCTAAACAATCTTATAATTATCTTGGTACTAATAGTACTCATAATAATTTATAAAATTGCTGGAATTTCCCGTTCCAAAAATTTAATTTTTTCAAAAACCTTTTGAAATTTTTTGAAAACTTTGGAAAAAAATGAGAATCTTGAGAAAAAAAACTTAAAAAATATTAATATTTTATATTTCAAAATTTTTTTATACTTTGAATTTTTCTGAAAATTTTGAGCTTTTTTTTCAAACTAATCGTGTTGCCGGTTGTTTTAGAAAAGAAATATCGAAGCGCCGCATCGCAGTCTAACGGATAAATTTTGGAACGGAAACCATATAAATGTAAATTCAATTCATACTTATTAAAATTTTTTATAAAATATCTGATAATTTGATGTGCAGATATTAGGTGTGCAAAGTATTTTGTTTTTGGAGCAATTTGCTTACAGACATTAAACCAGGCACGACTAGCTATTAAAATAAATTTGATATATTTGTTTCATGTAAATAGGCAAATTTCTCTCACTAAATAGGTTCATGAATTCCGTCAAATGTCTTTCCCATCTTTCTCTGCATGATAGTCCTTTAGTCACGACTGTCCAAGTATTCTTAGACTGCGTGTCAAGTGCACCGAGAATCAGTTAGGCTGTGCTCGTATATTTTATACGAAAGAATATTCAATATTAGCAAAAAATGTAAATATATAA